ATGATGGAGTAGTTCTTTACTTGATTGCCATTTTAAAGGTAATAGCCAGTATTCTTGCAGTGCACAACTATTTCAAATTTAACACCTCCGGTTTAATGATTTTCTAAGCATGAAGATAAGGACTGTTTGCACACTAATTCAGGGCTATGGTGCATACTCATCTATTTAATTAAAAGAAATATATGCATAGTAATTGTAGTCAGAATCACAATTTATTATTCAAATACACTAATTTACATTTCCCTATATGTTTTCATTTACATACGACTGCCTGACAATTTACTTGTTAGCTAGGAATTATGCCAAAAATTAAGCATTTTACCTTTCAATGCAAGAGCATCCTCAGGAGAATGGCAAGGTTGCTTTCTGTTTTCAAAGGACTGGATTTATCAATGGTATCAAAGCATTTTTAGTTTTGTAAATGTTAACACAACTCATTCATAATTCAGATGTTGGCAAATACTCCTAATGAGAACTGTTGATTTTCATATATATAAAAAGAAAACTATTGCTAAATTTGTAAATATAATTTAAGGGGGAGAAACTGTGATTTGAGATTTTAAGAGCAGTTTCCTTTAGAGTGAAAAAGCATGGCTTATAAATAAAAAAGATAACCTTAATTAACACAGTTCTGTGGAAATTTCAAGAATCTTTGAGAATCAGAGTACTAAACAGGTGAATTGTTTGCATCTTGTGCAATAATAAAAACAAAGAAACATTCCTTGGGCATACAGAATTCCCCCATAGAATTTAAAGAAATGGTAGGGATCCATGAATATGAACTTCTTATCTGCAATAAACTGCAGCAGCAGTGACTGCTGTTAGAAAATACGAAAGAATTTGCCTTTTCAACAGACCTGCAAATACAGTATAAGGAAGGACAAATGTTTTAGCATTAAAACTGACTAATGTTTTTACATATACTATTGCTTACAGCATTTGGTAATGATTCAGCTCTTTGCTCTAGGCACGGGCAGAAAGGAATGATTGGCAATATATTAGGAACAGGACAGAGAGATTCTTTCTTGTATTCAAATATTGCTCTCCTTTCCTCAAAAATCTCTCTTTCTTCTCTCTGTGACCTATATCTTTCTAAATCCAGTTGGTTCTTTCATAACTGGTATACTTCTATCACAGGGAAAGCTTGTATATTTGCTGAAACAAATAGGCAGGGTTCATGGAATTTATATGGTCTAGTGATTTGCTGGTAGATTATTACATATTACATTCATTGAGAGAAAAATCCAAGGCCCATGAAATTAACCACCTCTATTGATTCAGAGTGTAAGAAGTTCATACTAAAATATCTTAAGCTAGAAATAGATGTCACCAAATGAAGTGGCAATGTGTCACAGCACAACTTATCTGCTTCACTAGGCAAAACACATAACACCCCTTGTCTTGCCTTTGGTGGTATGGGACAAGAGTCAATATGATTTTCCCTCTTTCCAAACTGAGCTAAACTGAGTCCCTGGTGATAAGCAGAGATGGTCTGACTGAGTGGGAAAAGAGGGACTTTTCCGCACCCAGCTGGACCCAGGGCATATGTCTGACTGGGGAAAACGGGGATTTTCCCCCACCCATGCCCCAGGTCTGGCTACACAGGGACAAGCCCTTACCACTCAACCAGACCTGCTTTTCCAGGATCATGTAGGAGTGGATCTGGCTGAGAGGGATTCCCCGATTTCCCTACTCATTGCTTCAGGTGCCTCTTTGCAAGTGAAGAAAGCAGGCAGGTGCTCTGGGGGCTTGAATTAGATTTACATAAAAGTTCCAAAAAGTCCTGCTGAAGTGTCAAATCTATACAGATGGTACAGGTTAAACAAAGGTGCTGCTTGTTCTAGTAAAGTGTGTGTGGGGGGGGTTGTTGTTTTTTTAACTTCTGAAAGCAGTCTATATATTTTAAATGATTTTGTCATGAAGAGGCAGCAAGAAACTCACTATACAGATTAATTTATGAGAGCTAAAACACATGAATTTGTGAGTGTTTAATGAAGAAAAACAATCATACATCATGGTGAGGGACAGAAGTTATAAACTGGTTTAAGTAATGATCAGAAACCAGTTTAAATCTGGTGAGACCCCAGCTGGAGTACTGTGTCCAGTTCTGGTCACCACACTTCAAAAAAGAATGTGGAGAAACTTGAAAGGGTCTAGAGAAGGGCCACAAGAATGATTAAGGGCCTGGAGGACAAACCTTATGAGGAAAGGCTAAGGGATCAGTGACTGTTAGCCTGGGGAAAAGAAGACTGAGGGGGGACTTGGTGGCCATCTTTAAGTATGTAAGGAGTGAATATCAGGAGCTGGGAGAAAAACTGTTCACTATGGCACCCCAGGGGAGGCCAAGGAGCAATGGCATAAACTGTTAGAGGATGGTTTCAGGTTGGATGTAAGGAAGAACTTTGTTGCAGTAATGGTGACCAGAATCTGGAATAGACTTCCACAGGAGTGGTGCAGTCCCCAAGCTTGGAAGTCTTCAAGAGGAGACTGGACAGACACTTTGCCAGGATCATTTAAACTCAGCAGTATTCCTGCCCAGAGCAGCAGGGTAGGACTTCATATTCTTTTGAAGTTCCTTCCAGCCCTTAATTTCTATAATTTTATGTAAAGAAACAGAGATTCAGTGTACTTAATCTCTGAAACTGGTTTAAGATGAATCTGGTTTGGTTGGATGTAGTATCAGATTGAACTGATTTAGGTCAAACCAGTTTATAGAATTTCTGTCCCAGACCCCTTTCCGGTTCAAGTTAATTCACAGTTCCCCAGGATGCTTTGCAGCCCTGGGCTTTGCTGTCTGCTCCAAGGGGAGCCATAGCCAGACACTGGCCAGGCTGAGCCACAGGAGAGACAAGGGGACTTAACCTGCTCCACCTGCATGGGACCCCAGCTGGAGTCTGTCTAGCAGGCATAAAGCAGTCCCTGCCTGCCTCTTCCCCTGCTCCCTGCTCAAGCTGAAGGGTGGGGGGCATGGCATAATGACAGCCAGCCCAGCACACTGAAGCACATGGGGGGGAGGGGGGTTTAAACTCTGCACCCTCCCCTCTACCTCAGAGTGCTGACCTGACCCTCTCTTCCCTCCCTTCTACCTTAGCATGATGTCCTGGCTGGCATTTGGCCATGCTGCCCACTCCTCCACTCAAGCAGAGAGCAGAGGAAAAGTTGGGCAGGAGCTGCTTCGCTCCTGCCAGGCAGACACTAGTCAGGGTCCTGTGTGGGTGGGGGGAGGTGTTTAAACCCCTCCCTGGTTCCAGACCGCAGCCAGGGTTTGCCTTGGGGGAGGGGGGAGCCCATACCATGCTTTTGCCCCCCACCCCCTGCTTGAGGGGGGTGAGAGGGCAGCCCTTGCTGGGGTTTTCTCCCTCACTTGAGCAGAAAGCAGGGGGGGGTGCATGCTGTGGCCTGGGGCTGGTATGCTGAGGCAGGGAGGGACAGGGTTTAAACCCTGCTCCCTTCCTACCTAAGTGTGGGAGCCCTGAGCTGGGGTGTGGCCATGCCCCTTGCTCCACTAGAATGAATATCTGGGAGGGGGGCAAAAGCCTGGTGGGTGCTGCCCCCCAAGGTAAACTCCAGCTGGGGTTTGGGGTCAGAGAGGGTGTTTGAACCCTCTCCCTCCCCACCTCAGCCTGTGAGTCCCTGGCTGGGGTGTGACCACACCCCCCATTCTCCACCCAAGGTCGGGGGGCGGGGGCAAAACACTGGCAGGGACTGTGCCTCTCCTTAAGCAAGGAGCAGAGGACAGAAGCCTGGCAGGGGCTTTCCCCCTTGCAGACAGAGGCTGGGGTCCTAAGCATGCCTGGGTTTAAAACCCCCTCTCTCACCTCAGAGTGCCAGCTCCATGCTGGGATCCGGCCAGGTACCCTGATCTCTGCTCGAGCTGAGGGGCAAAAGCCTGGCAGGGGCTGCCCCCTGTCAGACCTCAGCTGGCATCCCATGCAGGAGTGGGAGGGTGTATGCCCCCTCCCTCCCTGCCTCAGTGTGTGAGCCCTGGGCAGAGGCTGGACCACACTTCCTGCTCCCTGCAGGGTGGGCAAAAGCTGGGTCTGGGCCCAGCCAGAGACCCCTGAAGGCCAAGGAAACCCCCCACCCCCATCTCAGCCTGGTGGTCTGAACTGGGAATGGGGAGCAGGGGATATGCCTGGCAGGGGTGTCCCCCCCACCACAACAGACCCAGGCTGGGGTCCCATACAAGGCAGGGAGGAAGTTTAAAGCCTCCCTGGCCTCAGGATGCTGACCCCAGGCTGGGCCCTGGCCACACCTCCTCCGCTTGAGCAGGGAGTGGGGGAGAGCCTTCGAGGCTTCCTCTCCTCCCTTTCCTTTGTAAGTGGCTGTGAGGTGTGCTCCAGAGCCTCCTAGGTTCTGGCCTGAGCCACTGCAGGCATGTGGCTGCATTTCTGGAATCAGACATGAATGTCTGTTCACTTACTTCTTGGTTCAATCAACACAGCTTAGACTAACCTGCAAAGACTGAATTGATTCAGCTTCTGGCTTTTTGACTGTCTGTACTTAGCTCATGTATTCAACAATACCAAAAAAGATGATTACCAGCTACCAAGACATGAAAGACCAAATTCCATATGATTAATGCCATTTTGGGATATATGTGAACAATGCATGCATGTTACTAAACCAAAATCCAGGCTTCCCACATATAGGGGAGCATCCAAACTTCAAAAATTTCAACACTTAAAAATACATGCAATCTCATGCTTATTTCAGATATGGAATATCTTGTCCAGATATTGATATCAATGGAGGTTTCCAGCACGTGCCAAGATTAGGCAGAAAACTCTAGTCCATGAACAAAGTACAAAAAAACCCAGTTCTTAACAGAAAGCTCTAATTGAAACTACCCCACAGAGTAAAATTTTATAACATGGACCTGGTTGTTAGTTTAGTGTTTGTTTGTTTTTTGTTTTCCCATACAATATATATTTTAGGTAGGATATCACAGTTCCGTTGCAAGTTAATTACAAAAATATTATGGCTCAGATGAAACTTACCTCATATGGGTAATGATGAGGGTTGTACTAGGAATGAAAAAGTCATCCACTCTATCAAACTGTCTTCCCACTGGCTGTGTATGGATTGTGTGGTGAGAAACACTCCCACTGGCCTGTGTTATTACCTATATGACATAGAACAATATTACATGTTTTAGTTAGTCATTCTTTATTGAAAATTAGACCAAATAAATAACATATGATCAACATAATAAGCTGTATTACAAACACCCACTTTGTCTAGTTCCACCCACGGGAATGCTAGTGCATTTAAGGTGCAAAACCAAATTTAATAAAATGGAATAGTGGGCAATGAAAACCTGGACTTTTCACTGTATGCTTGTTTGTAATATTCTTTAGGCCCTTATGCATCTAACTGACAGTCTTCTAGCATTCTGCCTGGTTATTTTAGGTCTATACTTTGCACTTTGGATGATCTATAACATATGCAAGTTCTAGAAAAAAGTTTGTAGAGGGGAGCAAGTAGAAGGGACTATTTGTATTTTAATCCTAATTTCTGAGTGGTTAGGACACCTACCTAGGAAGACAGAAACCTGGGGCCAAGGCCTTCTTAACCCAGCAGTAGTTTGTACTTGTATCTCTGACTTCCCAGCACTGTGATCTAATTGGGTCCCCAGTCCCTAGTCTGGGGAAGGTGCAATGAAAGCTACAGCATGACTTCTCCCAATCATGGGAGGACTCAAACTTTAAAAAACTGCCTCCCCACAATCACCATAATGGAGTTCCCAGTCTGTGGAAAGCACGGGGAGAGCTGATGCTTGATTCTTGTCAATGAGAAAAGTCAAGCGGAAGTGTAAGCCATTCATTCTGGCATGAAAAACTTGTGCAGGGAAGAACTTCCAGGTTTCAAAGCCGAATTCTCTCAGGTCTGGGGCTTGTTTCTTCTGTGAGTGTATATAAGGCACTTACACAGTTAAAATAATGCCATTTAGACACTCAAAGAGAAATTGAATTCCACCTTACCTGTTTAGACTATGAAGACTATAACAATGGAGTAGAATTGACTGGTATTGCCAATCCCAGAGAATCGCTGTACATCCGATCCCAAGTCTTTGATAATTACTTATTTTTTTCTTTTTTTAAACTTTAGTAGGGTTCTGGGCCTCTCTAGTCTGAGTGCTTAATTATGCATCTAAATTAAAAGTCCTAATTTGGACAAAAGTCCACAAGGTAGTTCTCATAAAAACTACATCATTCATTTGGTACCTAAACAAGTGAGTTTTTGTTTAGGCTCATACTTAAAAAATCTTGGTCTTAACATTCACATAGAAAAAGAAGGATAGATGGGAGAAGATTCTATGCAGCACAGAAAAAAAGGCAAAATAGAAAAGGTATCCTAAAATTGTGATACAAAACTATCAGGTAAAGAAGGAAATTGTCCCAGGGCCCTGATGTGAGGTAAAATGTAGCACAAAGGAAAAGAAGTAAAGAAATGAAAAAGTACTTTTGAAATATTTTTAAATGTTCCCCACTGACTGTACATCTGTTTGTCCATGCTTGAAGGCACTATAAAAGTGAAGGTTTTTATGGTTTTATTTCCAGAAAAATGCAAGTGTTAGGAATCTTTTAACTTGCTTAACTCTGCATAAAACCAATACAGTTTGAGTGAAATGCAATCTAATTATCTAGCACGTTTAAAATCCACTGAATGTTCCAGTCAAACACAAAGCCACAATCAGTAGCAACATAGTTAAAAAAATAGGTAATTAGAAAAGATGATCTTTTCTCCTGTAGCAAATCCCCATTATCAGTGCTATAGCATCACCTTGTTTGAAATAAAACTGATGAAAATAATCAACTTTACTCAAGAAGTTCACAGGTTATCTAAATAATTCTCAGGTATTTCACTTCACTACTGCTATCAAAATAATTAAGATTATGTTTTAAGGACAAAATGATGAAATTAAGCAGAGTTTCAATTTGTTATATCACTATCATTTAATTGTTTTGGAACTACCATATTTCATGGTGCATAGGTCAACGCAGTGTATAAGGTGACCATATTTTTCTGATCCAAAAAGTTAGGAATTTTGTAGATCCAGTGTATAAGTTAACCTAAGTTTTGGATCAGAAATACGGGGTTGACTTATACTGGCCCCTGTGCACCCTCATTGTAGGCTGGGCACCTTGGGGTAGACACGTGCTACAGTGCCACTCACAGGGGATACGGCCAGGCTTTGCACTCGGCTGGCATGGCTCATGCAGCACCGCTTGCAGGGGACGGGGTCATGCCAGCTGACCACTGATCCTGGCCCCATCGCCTGTGAACAGTCCTGCCTGGGCCGCACCAGCCAAGTGCCAAGCCTGGTCCCATCACCTGTGAGTGGTACCAGGTTCAGCACTCGGTTAACATGGCCCCGTCTCCTGTGAGCACACTATGGGGACATCACTTGGCTGGGTGCTGAGCCCAGCCCATCCCCTGCAAGTGGCACTGCCTCAGTCATGTCAGCCAAGCGCTGAGCCCAGCACTGCTCACAGGGGATGGAGCCGGGCTCAGCACTTGGCTGGTGAGGCTCAGGCAGTGCTGCTCACAGGGGATAGGGCCAGACTCAACCCCCAGCTGAGCAGCATCCCCATAGTGATGGCAAGGCCTGCAGGCCATGCTCAAGCTGGGTTTGAGCCCTATGGCCTTCAGTGACAGGGATGCTGTCAGGAGGTGAAGAAGGTTGGGTCAGGGCCAGGCTGGGGCTCAGCTGGAACCAGGACTGGGCTGGGGCATCACTAGGGTTGGTGGGGGAGGTTAAAAGTATTGATACAGTGTATAAGTTGAGATTGAATTTTAAGAGATAAAACTTGGGCTTCAAAACTCAATGTATACATTGTAAAATATGGTAGATATTTAATGTAATTTAAAACCTTTTTGTATCTATTCAATGAAGAAGTATTACCAGGGAAACAATAATTTGATTATACAGTGAAAATCATCACTGCCAACACAATTTTTGTTATAGCATCTTTTTTTTTTTTTTTTTTTTTTTTTTTTTTTTTTT